GGGGGGGGGGGGGGGGCAGCTCCAGCACCTCATGAATATTCAACATACCTGGCAAATGCTGGCAGTTATGACATGAATACCATGCTTTACTGTAATAATTGTCTGGTAATGTCTCATACGGCCTTGACCGCAGCCACCGCTGGGGAGGCCATCCTGCTGGGGGTCAGCATCCCTGCTCCATGCTTACATTCCGGTAAACTGGAGCCTGGATACCTTGCTGGTCCATTTCGGCATGGGCTGCATATGCTTGTGTCCCAGGCGGCCGCTGCTCTGCTCCGCGTCAGCTTTGAGGAGTCACATGCTTGCCTTTCATGGGTTCTAGGGCTGGGTTTCGCAACGATGTCACGATGACTAAACCCCCCCCCCAGTATGTGGTTTTTAATCAGGCAGGTGACAGGTCTCTAATTACTGGCACATGGTCCCTGGGGGAGTCATGCCTCATGTACTTGTGTGCAGTAGTAGAATTAATTGTGTGTGATGAGCTGTGCACCCAGGAGAAGCCAGGGGTGCTGACACCCCCCCACGCTCTGGAGGAAAGGGGCGCATGCCCAGTGTAAGTGAATATGTACAGGAATATAGATTGTGTGTCTATTGGGGGGGGGGGTGAGCTCATCTGCCTGTAGCCTTTCTGCTGACGTGACGGGACATTGGCTGCCACTGGGCTGAGCTCACGTTTGTGTCGAATCCGATTCGTCGACGTAAAGCCTGACGCAAAGGGAACATGCTAAGTAACAAATACAGTGGTTACTCAGTCATTCTTTGCCCTGTAAATGTAGAGTCAGAGACTACAGGACAGTGTGTATTTATTTAATTGAAGGATAATTCACTGATAGTAATTATATGTGTCATTATTGTTTTGGTTCAAGATTCTCAAAAAAAAAACAAAATGATCCCTTTGAAAGTAATGATGTAACGGAAGCTGTCATTATCATAGGTTGCCATGCTCACCGGCGGTCTGCAGGCATCGGACTTGCCCCTAGGTGGCGCTCAGGTGAAAGCAGGTCTAGTTGAAACCCCTACCTGCGGTAAGCATAACATGACCTGTACCAGCGATGAATACCATGAGCTGAGCCCCCACAGGGGTGCTCATGTATCCATCATCCTCTGAGCAAAGCTCTCCCCCCTGCAGGGCCCCATCAGAGCAGCCAGCCTGGTTTTGGGGTTCATACCTCTTGTCATTTGCCTTCAGAACTTCAGAACTCTGTCTCTGCAAAACGCAGCTCGTGTCCGTCTTTTTTTTTTTTTTTTGTGATTTAGGGAGTGGGGTGCGAGATTGGAATATAAAGCACAGCCTTCCATCTTAATCTTCTGGGGGTGTTGTGGCTATGAGTCACAAAGTCAAAAAACAACCCCCCCCCACCCACATTACTCCCGCCTGCGTCTTACGCAGCTGCAAGTTCTTCTGTAACACATTCAATTTGCTGTCTACAACTTTGAGTCGTGGCTCCCTCTTGGGTCTTGGGGCGGGGGGGTGGGGGGTAATCTGCTGAGGTTCTTGTCCCCCAGCCTTCATTAATGATGTCTCTGTGTTAATTAGATCAGCTGATACGCTCAGTGGTGCATCGAGCTGTAGTCTCTCTCTTTCATGTTGTCCTTCTGCACCAGTTTTTATTCCCGCCTTGCTGTTATATGGCCTTCGTCCTTAACCAGGATTCTGGCCCCGGGCTGGTTTGTGTGTCCTCACCCATGTTCGCGCTCTTCACCTTGGCTGGGAAGTGTGTTTGGAAAATGGCACCTTGGCACCTTGTACCTTGTGTGTGTGCGAGTGGGTGGGTGTGCAAGTGGGTGTGTGTGCATGCAGATCGCTCTCTATGCATGTGATGTGTGCACAAATAAAGGTGCGGGGGTCAGGATTGGCCGTCGCCGTGGGCGGCGGAGTGTGTCCGCTCTGCGGTGAGTGGTTGTTCCACCTGCCTCCTGGCTGGGGGGGGGTTGCTCAGTCATTATGTAAGAGCTCAAATGAGAATCATCGTCTTTGTTTCACAACAGAACCTCGTCAAGCATTGGCCTGGGCTTCGCTCCCCCCACCCCCACTCCCCCCCAACCATTATCTCCTGCTCTTTGAGCATTTATCCTGCTTCCTGTAATCATGTCACCACTGGGGGGTGCCCCCCCTGCTCGCCCCATGTCTTGTTACTGCCTCCCATACACTGGCTTTGCAAATGGCTCTGCGAGATAATTGCAATAAACCCCTCGGTAAAAGGCACTTAGATGATTCACCAGCTCCGAAAGATTACCCCAGATCTTCCCAAAACCCCTTCCACCAAACCAGTGAGGCTAAATGCTTGTATCACCCAGTTCTGGATTGGTCCTGGATTACATTCAGCGCAGATCTTTGTGCTGACTACTCACAAAATCTCACATGATGCTTGGTGATTTAGCTCAGAAAGTTAAGCCTGTTTTATATGCAGACCTCAGACTTTGATTATTTTATTTACCTTTGTGAGAAGGTTGGGTAAATCTACTTCATTTAGAGAAGATCCCATCAGTATGGAGCACAGAGGTGCAGCCTCAGCAATACAAGATCTATTAGCACCAATGTAGCTTTCCCTGACCCTGTTGATCGCACCACTGCATCTGTCCAGGTGAGCTATCAATGGCCCTTCCTGCTTCTCGTTGGGGACTGTGACAGATGTGTGTTGCGGCACTGTATGTGGTTGTATTCCAGAAGCGTCTCGCAGTGGGCTGTCTCACAGTGGGCTTGCAGTGGGCTTTCTCGAGGTGGACCATCTCACTGCAGACTTTCTCACTGCAGACCGTCTCACAGCGGCCTGTCTGAAGCACTCTTAACCTCTGCTTTCTTCCCCAGGAAAAGGTTCCTGCAGTTTAAACGTGTGTAAATGTGGTAAGATGCTTTGAAGAGTCTGCACAGTGACCCCCTCCCCTCTCCTCCAGGCACGGTGGAGGCGTGTCTCGGCCACCAGCTGAAACGCCGCGCTGCTGGCTTCCTGCGCAGCGACAAGATCGCCGCTCTATTCACCAAGGTGGGCAAGGCGCATGCCACCGCTGCGGATGTGTGCCGGAAGGTGCAGGAGCAGCTGCAGCAGCAGGCTGAGGCCACCAGGTTAAGCTCGCCTCCCCGAACCGCCGCTCCCTTTCCATTCCTCACCTTCCGGCGTCAGTCACCTTAGCGATGTTCGCATTTGTCTCAAAAACTAACGCTCCACCATGCAATGTTTCGGTTGGTTTGTTCGCACGCTGTTGACGCAACCTTTTTCACAACTACTGTCGGTCCCCCTTGCCCCTAGGGGGCGCCGCTGGTGCCCCCCATAGTCCTGGGCTGGACTTGACCATTAAAAGGTCCTCTGTCCCGTCTTCTTTGCCTCCTCTGTCTCTGCAAAGGTTAACTGGTGTTGCCTTGGTTACATCGACACGGATCAGCATCACCCGAGCGCTCGGAGATATCCTGAGTGTTTTCTGCAGGACGCCTAGGGGACTACATTTGAAAAGGAAAAATATCACCAGATGAATAATGGGGTAGCCTGTCACGACTCTCCAGTTCTGCATTTGGGAGCATCTTACGGGGTCGTGACTATTTTATATTCTGTTGTTTTCTTTATCGGCTTGTCGACTCTCCACTAGGCGTTTCCGGAAGGTCTGAAATGTGATTAGGTTGCAGGGACGTCGTCCCACGTTGGAGAAGCAGATCTAATTTGCCGTTAAATTAGGTTACTCGATTGCTCATGTCGGAAAACAGTCTCACTATGAGGCCGCGTGCATCAGCTGGCTTCGGTCCGCTTACATCACTGCGAGGTCCGCAAGGGACCAACAGAACAACTGCAAAAACCTTTTGTTGTGGTGACCTATTGACTGACTGATGTTACAGGGCGGCGCCTTACAAGTCAGACAAATCACTCACGTTAACCTTAATACAAGGTGAGAGCTTGTATAAGAAGCCCTCTCCGTAACTTTCACGGGTCTTGAGTTCCGAAATGCACCGTGTGCTGACGGTTTACAATCAGCCGACATGCTGAAGGGTAGATACACAGCAGGGCCTGCTAAGCAGCAGTCAAAGTTCCCCCCGAAATAGGGAACATCAAATTCACTGAGGATGCTGCTCTTTCTCTGTCTCACACACACACACACACACACCAACACACATGGTGGTGTCGAGGTGCTCCCAACGGATCTATGCCGTTACAGGGCTCCCCTGCTCGCCAACCTTTGCTCCGCCCCGTTCCCGGCCTGTAGAGCGAGAGGGAGATTAATGGCGAGGCCTTGCTGTTACAGAGGGACTGTCATGGAGGCTCTGTTGATGACGTTCAGAGGCACCACAGCTTACAAAGCCTGTCGTCTACTTTCCCAAATCTCTACAATTTCAATCGCAGTGCCCCAGACAGCTGAGAATTGCTTAAGGCCAAAAGGTTTACTTTCTGTCATTCTAGGGTCAGATTGCATGTTGTCTACGCCAAGGGTTGGTTGTGCCACACTGCCACTCTGTGGTAGGGCAGACTAGTGCAGGACTGTGCCATAGTAAAGTGGTATGTGTAAGTAGGCGTGGTGTTATAACCTCCTGTACCCTGCCTTCCTGTATTCTTGTGACTGTGCTCCCCCAGGAGAGTCCAGAGTGCGGGACCTGAACCCTTGAGGAGGCAGGGCTCGTCTGCAGGCCGCGCCCCCCAGCCTCTTTCCGCCCAGGCTGTCAAGCATATCTGGGTGCGAACAGCGCTCTTCGAGAAGGTTCTAGACAAAGTGGTCCAGTACATTGTGGACAATTCTAGGTACCCCCCCCCGCCCCCGCACTTAATCTCTGGCAGTGCTGGGTTTTTTTCCAGCCTCCTTTTTTGGTTCCTCATTGTCTTTTCATTAAGTTGAGTCTGTCTCTGCTTTTCAAGTAAGTACTATGAGAGAGAAGCCCTGATGCATGACCCCGTCTACGGACCCATTCTGGCAGCACTTTTGGGTGAGTGTCACCTGTCCCCTCTCCCTGTGGCTTACTGCAGTGTGCCTGTTTGGCATGCTGTCACTCCTCCTCCTTCGCTTTCTCTTTCCTGCCAGTCGGCCCTTGTGCCCTGGAGTACACCAAGCTGAAGACGTCTGACCACTTCTGGACCGACCCCTCCGCCAACGAGCTGGTCCAGCGGCACCGGATCCACGGAGCCCATCGTGGCCAGGAGTGCTGCCATGGCCGGCGTCCTGCCCTCGGGGTAAAGGCACGGGTCCCACTGAGGCTCATTCTGGGCTCCATCCCGACGGCCTTCTCCAACCCGCTCTGCTCTACCTCTCTCACCGCCCTCCAGATCCGCAAGCGCCAGTCCAGCGGGAGCATGTCCGAGGATCGCTTTGCGGCATCCGCGCGAGAATACGTGGAGTCCCTGCACCAGAACTCACGGACGCATCTGCTCTATGGCAAGAACAACGTGTTGGTGCAGCCGGTAAGCCGGGGGGGGGTGCTGTGGGAGGAGCCACTCTTCACCACATACAGTGCTGCAACACACATCTGTCACAGTCCCAAACGAGAAGCAGGAAGGGCCATTGATAGCTCACCTGGACAGAGCCCTCACTCACACCACAGGATCTCTCCAAGGTCTCTAGCGTCCCCCCCCCCCCTTTTGCCCTGCGGAGCTCTGATAGTTTGCTCCGATTTGCTGTGGGAGGCCGTGGGAGGAGGTGCTGCGCTATGAATGAGTCGCAGTTGGTTTGGCTTTGGCCAGCAGTGTGGGGACTTCAGCCGATTGATCCACGCTTTTCGGGATGCCCAGAGTCCTGAGTCAGCGACTTCCTGCTTTACTCTGCCTCCCACCTGTCCTCCGTCTACTTGCCTCTGATCATATGCCCCCCCCCCCCCCCCACACACATCACGGTGTGATGTAGACTGAGGGGACCATAAAAACAAAATGGCAGCGTGGGAGATCCCTCTCTGCGTCCCCAGAGATCCTGTTCCTCAGTCTGTCAGCTTCACAGCCACTGCACGTAAACACGGCTGCTTTCAAACTGCCTCTGAGATAAGCGCCCCACCCCCATGGCAGCGTGGTAGCTGATAGTTCTGCACCACGCTTGATTGGGACAGAAACGCGTGAATCGATCCTGTAAATTACCGGGGCCAACTGGGACAGAGGGGAAGATTTAGCTCCAATTGGATTTCTGTGTGCATCCTGCAATCCTGTAAATCCTGCCTGAGTGCAGGTACGAGCATTTTTCAGCAGTGTGGTCAATCTCTCTCTCTATACTTCCCACCACAGAAGAAGGACATGGAGGTACTGAGGGGCTACCTATCCCTCCACCAGACTGCAGACACCCTCAGCTTGAAGTGGACTCCAAACCAGCTGATTAATGGCACTCTGGGAGACTGTGACCTGGAGAAGAGGTACCCCGACCCCGTCTCCAGTGCCCGACCCCGTCTCCAGTGCCGCTCTCCGCTCTGCCGTCGCTTTGGTGTCCTCAGCATGCGTCTCCCTCTTTCTCTGCCTCTGCAGCATTTACTGGGACTACGCTCTCACTGTGCCTTTGAGACAGATCGTCTGCATCCACTGTCACCAGCGGCGTAAGTAGCATGTGTGTAAGTGGAGTAGCACGTGTGAGAATGTGCCATCCTCTGAGAACGAGCTTTCCACATGAAGACGGGGAAAGAGACGTCTTCTGTGAGACACATGGGATACAGTGTGCATCAGATCCGGATGCAGTGCTTTTTGGATAGAGGGGGATGCAGTGATAGGCAGTGGGATTAGTGTGCTAGTTGGAGCTGACAGGAGCGGTCCTCCAACAGGTGGTACAGTGCCTACAATAGCTCTTCACAGAGGTGGATAGTTCAGGTCCAGAGAGTAAAAGTCCAGTTGGGTACTTTGTGACTGTGACTCTTTATACTCAACTGGTTGGTTGAAACAAAATCTTAGTCTGGACTTTTACTGTCTGGACCTGAATTGTCCTCTGGCTCCTTACTGCAGTAGTCATACCCAGCTGGCCCCCAGGTGTCCCGCCATGGGGTTAAGGTGTCTTCAGCTCCAGTAGGGCGTCTATGTGGTAATGGAGCACCACCAACAGCTCCCTTTGGCCCTGAAGTAGGCATCAGAGAGGCAAGCCAGGCAAATTCGTTTCCCCTTGAAAATAACTTTAGTCCAGCAGTGATTAAACTGATCATCAGCAAAGTGGTGACATTGGTGTACAAGCTGGGAGGAATCGGACAAAAGGTGGTGGTTAGCCACGGGTGGTTAGCCGCGGGTGGTTAGCCACGGGTGGCTCACCTTCGGCATCAGCGCAGGCCATGTCTAGGAATGCAGGAACAGGATGGCCCTCCAGATGTATGGCAGCCAGCCATCAAAGAGGCCTCAGAGGCTGGTGAATTCTGCATCTGGCCATCCAGGTCCTTGTGACTGATCCCAAACAGTAGGCTCATCCTGTGGAGAAGCATGTCTAACGTGTCCCTGGTGTAGGGGACCTTCCTCGACTTGCCTGGTTTCTGGGTAACCCCATGGGCCAGGCTAGCCTTCCTTAGGCCGGGGGTGGTGAGGTGCTGCCCCTGCCTCCTTTGATATGGTATTGGCATTGTGGACCCACTCAGTGACTTCAATCATCTTGGTCGATGTGATGGGTTGCTTTTAACAATACGCACTTTGGTCATTCTGGAGCAGGGCGTGAAGGAAATGTTCAATGGCGACCTTCTCCACCATCTGTTCGGGGGTGTGCCGATTGGGCTGTAGCCAGTGCTGTACACTCCTGAAGAGCTGGCTGACCTAAGCTTTTACCGGCTGGTTGTTGTTATATATTCACTTATTGCTGTTGTGTGGCTGTGGTGGGCAAGCGCGAGGATCTCAATTTTCTTGGGATCATCTTCCTCGGAGGCCATCCTGGGCAGGGCATGGAAGGCAGTAAGGAACTTCAAAACAGGCAGCACCCTCAGTCGCTAGTGTGGGGATCAGGGGGGCACCTGTCGGACGCTGAGTGAGAGCCTCGAGATGGGCGGCCAAATGCCGGTCCGGCTGAAAGGATATTTGCAACTGTTAATGGAGCAACTCTGCCATCGATGCTGTCTCCAGACCTGCCTGCATAGCTTCCATTCTCCAGCAATTGATGGGACACGCTGACTGCACGGGAGTGAAATACCTGTTTGTCGATTGACTGCCAGGCACAATTAATTTTGTTTCCGCACGGTTCTGGTGTAGGAATTGACAGCGGCAGACTGTGGTACTGAACTCCCAGTGGATTCAGTGGGACGACCTCCTGTCATCTGACCCGAACCATTTGTCGGACCCATGTCAATGTTGTCGAGGAGACATAGCATCAGAAACTATAGACATGACCTAGGATTGTCTCGCTTCATCAGCCTTGTAGGTGCTTCCAAGGAAACCTCCATCCTCCTTGCATGTTTTGTACTGCGTGTGTTTTCTGAGGTTAGCACATGAAACTTCGGGCTTCAGCAGGTGTTAATGACTGACCTGCCGCTGCTTCCAAATCATCTCCCTGCCCCGCTCTTCTGTTACTGTTCAGAAGATTGTGAACGACGTTGCTTGAAAGACGAGTGCCTCCTGGTCCTGATGTCTTGTCCCCAGCTCACTTTCTGCCTTGAATTCCTGCTCACGTTAGTCACGTTCAGCCTGTCTCTGTG